GTTACTATGAATGAGCAGTACATTGCAAACTTTGCTCGGGGGTTACTGAGCCCTGTAGTCGGCGAAAACAGCATCAAAACACACAGATCAGAAATGATGAACCAATTATGAATAAAGCATTGATTGGATTAACAAAGATATTGTCTGCTTACTCAGTAATTGATACCAAAACCAATTGTAGTTTCCTAATTATTAATCTCCTATTTGTTTAATAGTCAGGATCTTAATAATAATGTCAAAATTCCGTCTTTGACACGATGCTGTGACGTATTTCCCAATGAAAGTTACAAGCTCGCATTGTCACATTGTTATTTGTAAAATTTAAATTTTTGAACATCTTCAACTAAATATTTTTCTGCTGATTGGGCTGAGGCCAAACACAGCACCTTGGGACGTGAAAGGCGTTATACAAATGTAATTTTGGTGTTGCTGTTGTTGAGGGACATTAGTGCTGAGCACAGAGCACCACCGGGATTAGATAGCAAATAAAGCTTCTGAACAGTGTCCCATTCAGTACAAGTTAGCTTACAGACTAAAACTACAGTGCGATATCCAGCACTCCCATGTCAGATAAGCAAGGTTAGCAACAGAAAGTCACAAATTGTGATTCTTACCTTTGGTGGTCTTCAACGGTTGACATGAATCTGAAGGTAAGATTCGGAATTGGGTGACTTTCTGTTACAAATACTGAATTTTAGACCCCAGTGTTACAGGAGTAACATTTTAATTTGAAAAGTTGCCGTCAGGAACCAAGTTAACTGAGAAAGATGGAACAGTTTAAGGCAGTGTCAGGTAGTCCGTATTTAAGTTAAATCATGTCATAAAAACCTATTGGAAGGGAGATTGCTTTGGCTGTGAGGATTTTGGAAGAAGGATGTTGGAAAATAAATGAAGACTAAGCAAATGGTTCCGCTACCAGTATTCCCACCTCTTAAACCTCTAAAACCTGAAATTCGAGGTGCAATTTGTTATGGAAAAACAAGAGCCAGAGTGCACGGTACTATAGAGAAAACAAGAAAATGGACAATTTGAAGAAAAAAAGATTTACTTGGAAAATTCTTCGCTGACTCCAGAAAACAAACAAGCTCCAGGGGGAGGGCTGAATCACCACTAACACGAGAGCATCGCTTAATATCTCCTTGTACCCTCTACACTGCTGTTGATGTTACGTGGCGGATTTGGGTCCCTGCCTATACCTCTTCCTTTAAAAAAAACTGTCTAGATTTTTCTTGAACGAGTGAATGCTATATAAACAGACAGTATCAAATGGGAGCTTGTTCTGGTGCTCAACCTCCATTACACTGCACTTCCTCATAATAAACAACATTATTGCTTTCAGCCCATCCGAACAAGCTGTTCAGATCAATTGGCAATGTGTCCGTCTTCATTCTGCAAGCATTTGACACAAATTTTAGCATCATTGGCAAAGGTGGCAATAATGTTATTCATGTTTATTATAATGTCGTTGATGAAGATTATGAACAGAAGGACACTCAATACCGATGATCATCCCTCAGCTGGATTCCCTTCTGTTGTTGACCACATCCAATTTCTGTTGCTCAGCCAATTTTCAATCCACCCTTTGACCCCATGCCCCAACTCCTGTTTTCCTGCCCTTGACTAGGACACCGTTGGGAGGCACCTTGTTGAAGGCTTTTTACAAATCAAGGTAGATTACATCCACTGCTGACTTGGCATCAACCAGCTCAGTCATCTCCTCAAAACCCCCCACTAAGTTTGTCAACCACAATCTTATGTTACAAACACCACTCAGGTGGATCCTGATGCCTCCATCATCACACCCTCCAGGAGGCCTTCCACAAGTTTCCATATGATTGAAGTGAGGCAGGGTCTGTGTTGTTACCTTTCTTAACGATGGGCAACACATGTGCCATAATAAAGGAACCTCCTGTTATTATGGACAGAGGAAATTTTAAGGGAACCACTTTGCATTGATTATACAAAGGCTACGAGCCAGGAGAGAAATTCTGGGCTTGCGCTGGTGGGAGAGTCCATGACGCTCTAATTGAATTATGATTTGATAATGAGGAACAGTTGGAAAACCCAAACTCCCATCGGCTCAGTTTGCTCTTCTGATTTCTGGGATTGATTAGAAGGAGACAATTGCTTTAGCCAAGCATCTTCAGTGCCAAGTAGATCAGTACAAGTGTCCATTAGTTATAATTACTATAAACAATGATCTCATAGATATTAAGATAGGAACTGAAAAATTTATTATTGTGTCAAATTATTGTATTACTGCTGTCCTGACGGATTGTCTGTAAGACATCAAGACCTGGATGAGAGCTAACTTTCTCCAGTTGAATGTCAACAAGACCAAGGCCCTCATTGATTAAAGATGTGGTAGTGCGGTATTTAGGGGAGCACGATATAATTAGACCAAGTCAAAATGGCTTTACAAAAGGGAAGTCATGTTTGACAAATCTCACAGTTTTTTGAGGATATTTCGAGTAAACTAGATAAGTGGATGTGGTCTATTTGGACTTCCAGAAGGCATTCGATAAGGTGCCGCATAAAAGGTTAGTCCAAAAGATAGGGGCCCACGGAATTGGGGGGAGCATATTAATGTGAATTGGGGAATGGTTAACGGGTAGGAAACAAAGAGTAGGGATAAACGGGTCCTTTTCAGATTGGCGGGATGTGACTAGTGGATCAGTTCTTGGGCCTCAGCTATTTACCATCTACATCAACGATCTAGATGAGGACATCGAAGTTAATATATCTAAATTCGCGGATGACACAAAACTAGGAGGAAATGTCAACACAGAGGATGACATTAAAAAAATGCAGTGCAACATCGGTGATTGGGCAGGTAGGTGGCAGATGAAGTATAACGTAGGGAAGTGCAAAGTCATCCACCAAGGTAGCAAAAACAGTAGAGTGGGTTATTTTTTAGAAGGGGAGCGATTGGAATGTGTTAGCGTCCAGAGGGACTTGGGTGTCCTTGTACACCAATCACAGAAAGTTTGTCTGCAGGTGCAGTAAGCAATTAGGAAGTCTAATTCTGAAAGGATTAGAGTATAAGAGTAGGGAAGTCTTGCTGCAACTGTAAAGGGTCCTGGTGAGACCACACCTGGAATACTGTGTGCAGTTTTGGTCTCCTTATTTAAGGAAGGATGTACTTGCCTTGGAGGGGTTGCAGCGTAGATTTACTAGGTTAGTACCAGGGATGAAGGGGATGAGTTACGAGGATAGGCTGACCAATTTGGGCCTATATTCTCTGGAATATAGAAGAATTAGAGGGGATCTTTTAGAAACCTATAAGATCATCAAAGGGCAATGATAGAGTAGATAGTGGGAGATTGTTTCCCCTGGTTGGAGAAACTAAAACCAGGGGTCACAACCTTAAAATCAGAGGCCAGCCCTTTCGCACTGAGTTGAGGAAGAACTTCTTCACTCAAAGGGTGGTGAATGCATGGAACTCACTATCCCAAAGGGCCATTGACGCTCAGTCCTTGAACATATTCAAGACTGAGATAGATAGATTTCTTATTGCAAAAGGGATTAAGGGATATAGGGATAAGGCAGGGTTAGGTTATTAGCTGGAGTTAGATTAGAAGATTAGCCATGATTGAATGGCGGGGCAGGCTCAAAGGGCCAAATGGCTTACTCCTGCTCCTACATGTTATGTTATGATTGGCTCCCGTCAGTGCCTCCACACCTTAGGCACTGACAGGATCTCCATCCATGGTGATTGGCTGTAGTTGGCAGGTCAGGGTTTGTGTTATTTCCCTTCTTAAAGATGGGCACCACTCTCCAGGCACCTCCCCTGTATTACTGAACCTCACTGAGCCAGTATGGAACCTCAACGACTTCTTTGATTCTCAACTGTCCTTTCTACTTCACATCCGTGCCATGACCCTTTCTGTGTTACCCCACCTCCGTAACATTGCCTGGTTCCACCATTGCCTCTCCCCTCAGGCCGCTGAGACCCTCGCTCCCTCCCTTGCCTCCTTCAAGGCACATCTCAAGACCCTCCTCTTTGTTTGCTCCTTTGGTCACCCTCATACCCCTACGCTCCACCACTCCTAATCCCAACCCCCAGCTGAGGTCCAGTTCCCAGACTGTTCAAGACAGTGACTTGGGACATCCTCCTGATGTGAAAGGCGCTATACAAATGTAATTTGTTGTTTTTGTTCAGAGGAAAATACAGGGCGACCAAAAAGTCATGATATAGATATCACTGCCTAAACAAATTTTCTAAATCTATCTAAAAACCCTTATTGTCTAAAAAAATATAATTTCTTTAACACTTATTGGACATTGTAATGGTATCATGAGTTTTTGGTCGCCCTATACATATGTTCCACTGAAGACCTTGAGACATAGAATATATCACACTGATTCATTTTCTTTTTTTCACCTTTGTGTACCGGCTTGAAGATTTTAATTAGTATGCACAATGCTGACTCTGAATGGCAGGCTGGCATTAAGAAAGCCTCAATAACATTGAGCAACCAAGAATTTAAATTGTACTTCTGACTGATCATGGCGCATTTTTGCGTTTTTATTAAAACTGCGAATTAGATAGAATCTACAAAGGTAATAAAAAAATTTGACATCCCAAGACTAGTTTTCCTACTGCGACTGATTACAGCTACTTCCACAAAACACTGGAAGCAAACACAATCTATGGGAGATCCCATAGGAAAATGCTTCATTTCAATAACAAGCATACCTTCACACTGGTCTCCTTTGGCAGTCCTGTTTGGTACTCTGGATAAACTCTTAAACTCACAGAGTTCAGTTTCTTTCCTCCATTTGGTTCTGGCCCTTTCTCCACACTTCCTTGACATGTATTGCTCCATTCTGTGCAATCATGAGATTCCTCTTTGCAGAACGGGCCGGAGTAGTCTTCAGGAGGAAGATCCGTATCTGGATGGAAGGACACAGAGGGCTTGTTTCTAGTCGTATATGACCCACTGGACTGTTGTTCTGACTCATTGGACTTTTGTTCTGCTGAAGATTCATCCATGGATTCAGGTCGAGACCAGCACTTTCTCTGAATATGGAACGACTGCTTTGGCATGTCAAGGCTACTCGTTCGGACACAATAGGCTTGTCTTTTTTCTGTGATATGCAATAGTTCCAGCTGTCTGCTGGGAAGGACAAAATCACTGTCATAGATTGTCGGATGCCTTGGGCCCTCTTGATTGCTGCTGGCAATCGGCGATCTGAATTCATAAGCTCGAAGGACATCGGGAGCGCTGTCACGCAGGATGTGATTGGGTCTTCTGCTGCAATCGGGCACTGCTGAGTAGATGAGGTCCAGCTCTTTGGGACTCTGAGCTCTACTGGAGTCATAATCACTGTCTGTTGCCAAAAATACCTCTGAGGAACCGTCTTCATCTGATATCCCATGAGAATCTGGAAAAAAAATCAAACGTACTCAGCACTACTCAGTGTCTGTCCCTTTGGATTATTAATCCTTGTATTGATAGCCACTGAATACACTGCCAGCGATCTCATGTTAATTCTATTATCCAATTATTTCCTCCTCAACAATCCTTGACCTTGCTGTAACCGGTTGCCTCCACGGAAATGTAAGATGCCTAATGAGATATACATGACGCCATGCATTTGGGACTCTTGTAGGACTGCAATAATATTTGTGCATCAAAAATGTAAAATTTTAGGTGACTCAAGAAGAACACTTTAAAAATATTACTTTAACACATTTCTGAGATGTATTTTTTATTGAATGTATTAAGGAATGTGCATTTTTAAATGAAGTGAAAGATGATATTGTCTCAATGTTCCCTGTACATGGACCTAAAAAACAGGGTTTCCTGGAGGGGATGAATAGCTTTTTCTTGTTCCTACTATCTTATGTTATAGAACTATAGTACATGGAGGCTTAGGGCAGCAAAACCTTTTGAAAGGTTGAAAGGTACATAGTATTAGTTCATGAATCCTGACTACACTGGGTTCACATTACGACATTTGAGTCTTTAATCAGATACTTACCAGAATTCTGTTTCCGACCAGGCTCTGGCGATGGAGTTGGGGAGAGCAGGTAATCTGGGTTGCACAAAGTGGACTGTGCCCCATCTTTGCTCATACTTTTGGTAAAATACATCAGCCAGGTCAAAGGGATCCCACCGGGAGGCTGTTTGTACCTTGCATATTGCAGAACATCCATTATCCAACGCATCTCCCGCCAAATCTCTTCCATTTGCTAAAAGATATCGTAGATTATTACCAGGACAGCATGGATTGTTTCACAGATATTTAACATAACATCTCCGGTCAACTAGTTGCTGATTTTGTCTCAGTCAATCTGCAGAAGGTTGTATTATTATTATTAATCCTCTAGGGTTAATGCTACTCTGTACTGAGGACAATTGCACACAGCAGAGTTCCACCAAAAGTCGTGAATTGAGTGACCAAATTATTATTTTTTTTTGGATGGATTATTCCTCTCAGAAAGAGATCCAACAATTGAATAGAAACCGGGTTCTTACTAGGTAAACAGAGGCGTATGGAGTAAGGAAACTTGCCTAAGTATTCGCCCTGCTCAGGTTGGACAGTAGAATGTTGCTTACCTGCATGAAGTCTTGCACTTGTTGGTGCTTCTGCTTGGCTTCCACGACCTCGGAGTCTGAGAATGCTTCCCTCAGAGCTTGCTGTGAGAGGAGGGAGTCTAGCTCCAACAGTGCTGACACTTGACAATACTGGCTTATGAACGCCTTATCGTAGGTAAAAAAGTGAACTGAAAAGTTGAACAAAAGACAAATGTTCATCATGGGCTGAAACCTTGAGAAAGTGCAGTAAACCTTATATTTTATAGGCGAACTAAGCCAATTTACTCTGAGAAAGTCCTTTCTCTTTTTTGAATAGTGCCCCGCGATTATTTAACGTCCACCTGAACAGGCAGATAGTGTTCTAATCTCAATCAATGACATCCTTTAAATTGATCAACCAAGAGTAGCATGAAATTCACCAAACGTATCATGAAAAAAAACTTCCCTAGAGATATGAAGTTCTTTAATTTAATCTTGTTCTTCCAGTCTCCATTCACACTGTATGCTAATAACATGAGATGGTTTTTGGATCCTATTTATTTAATGATATTTCCTTCTGGACGTGTTCCAGTGCTAGTCACTGATCAGAAAATGGTAAACAATTCAGGAAAATTCTTAAGAGAATCATATCGCATAGCTGTCTGTACAGAAGCTTCAATCATCCCTTCTTGGAACATGACTGTCTGTTCCTTGTCTTGATGATCTATATCTTCTCTCTTGAGCTCTATGAATCAATGACTTTGAGTGCCAGCCAAAGACTCCTCTTTTTCCTGTTTACTATTGCAGACTTGCAGCAGAAGAGAACCAGAATACAGTTCCAAAGATTCCTTCCAATTTATTTTGAATTCCAAAGACTGAATGAAGTAGCCAGATTGACTCCAACTTGTTCAGAATGATTTCTTCACTGGAACCTTTAAGCTCTCCTATGAGTGTGCTTCCTCAATGAAATGATGCTCACAATTCACACTTCCATTGGTCAAATGACTCCTTTCTTGAACGAAGTTGGTGCCATCCATTGAACGACCAATAATTTTCTGGTTCATCCTCTCAGAATTTCTTCTATCAAATGGTACCAAACAGTTTCATGCCAAACTCAGTATCTCACAAGTGGTTTCCCTCAAACATTTTGTTCATAGGTACATATATCTGTTTGAGCACAGCGTTTCAAACATTCTATAATTCAAGCCACACAACATATTTCCTTCTATTTATTTTGAAACACACGTGCCAAAGCAATTATTCATAGAAGCTAGTAAGAAAGCATATTCAAAATGATTCTATTATTGCAAGAAGAATATCAAAGCTGGTAAGAAGATATGACAAGTGAGATCAGAAATATTTCAAGACCTTGCATTGATCGGCGACAAATTTTCTGCAGTCTCATAAACCCTACAACAACTAACACAGCAAGTGATGGTTAATTTTGGATTGAAATGTCTGTGCACAATAGATACAAGACCTGCTCAAAGGAGTTCATCAGGCAGGACAAATTTTGTGCATGAAGCTTTGCAAGGTATTTTAGGATGGACATAGAATGCTGAGATGATTCAACAAATGCTGGTGCCCTTCAATGTTTCCCTCAGGAAGTTATTCACACCGTGTGAGTTGACAGTCAGTAGAGTCAGGTTATTTGACACTACAGCAAATCACAGTGTTTAAATCCAAACTCATCACAGGAACAGGAATAGACCATTCAGCACCTTAAGCCCATTCCGCTATTTTATTAGATCATGACTGATCTGTACTTCAACTGCAATTACCCCCCTTTGCTCTGTATCCCTTGATACCCTTACCTAACAAGAATCTATTGAACTCAGTCTTGAAAATCAATTTCTCTTAATTATCAAGCCTATAGAATTCCTCACCTCCCTCAGTCTTTACAGGTGTTTAGAACCCCACTCTTGGCCTTGCCACTATTCATTCTTGCTACCCATTACTCGATTTATATTATTATTTTCTCTTCTTTTCCACTCTTTACAATTTTGGTGGGGTGCTGCCCTCTGGATTTCTCAGTTTATAAAAGGAAGCTGAAACTGATTATGTCTTCAATGGCTGCTCTATCCAGCAGGACATAAGGGTAGTAATCAGCAAAGGTAGCTGTGCTGATATTTTCCCTTCCTCCTTTAACTGGGTTCAAGGACGTGCCTCAACCATATTATATTCTCTACTAACTCCAAGTACCTCAGCAAAAAAGATCATAGATCAAACCAGGGAATCTTATGACGCTCTATGGCTTAGTATAACAGCACATGGTACATTGATCTGCTGAACCACTGAAAGAGGGGGTGGACGCTAAAAAATAAATCAGTTTAAAGAAAAGGGCAATAAAAACAATTTCCCACTGGCCTCTGAATCCACAGCCAGCACTGTCACAGATTGTTAACTGGCATCTTTACTGTATTGCATTGGCATCTGATCTAAGCAGAAACCGTTTCTCACATTTAACAATGTAAGCATGGCTTCAAGTCTAGAAAACAAGATAAAAGATGGTCTTCACCCTTTCCTCACGGAGGAGCCGAGCAGGTACTTGAATGCGACTCTAAAGCCTGAGCGAGCTTTTAAATGAGTTTGGAAAATGTGATTATGGTGAAGGTGGTGCCGACGGGAAAGCTTGATGGCTTGCTCAAAGATATAGCAGCTCTGTTGCCAGATGTGGAACTCAAATATGTCAAATGGTTAAAGCATGGAGTGATGGGGGAGGTGGGGACGGTGGGGGGATGATTTTCAAATCCACAGCAACTCTTGTAAACTGCAGAAATATGTTAGATTTGGCATGGGATGATTTAACAGTCTCCTGGCTAATGTCTTCTCATGGTGGAGATAGACTCCATTACAGCATTCTACCTATTGCAGTGCAGGATCTTATTCCTCTTGGACACCCCACAGCCAAGTGCAGTTCTGTGCTCACCAGAATCCTGACGGTCTTAGCCTTGAGATTCATCTTAAAATTTAGCTTTCATTCAGAAGTTGTCACAGTTGTCAAGAGAGAAAAAAAGCTTTAGAAAAAGACTAAATTGAAGAATGTTTGAAAGTTCCACACAATGAATGACATTTTCGGACAATGGTCTTTAGGTGAAGACCAATAGTAATTTTGGGCCACTTGCTTGTTGGAATCAATAATAATAATAATAATAATAATAATCCTTGCATTTGATATAGCGCTTTTCACGTCGGGAGGACGTCCCAAAGCGCTTCACAGAATATACTGTAAAGTGAGTTGACTGTATATTTGTGGGCGAACGCGGCAGCCAATTGCGCACAGCAATGTCCCACAAACAGTCATAGATTGAAAATGACCAATTTATTATTGTTTTTGTTTTTTGGAGGGATTATTATTAGGCGTGTGGAGTAAGGAAACTTGCCCAAGGTTTCGCCCTGCCTGGAATTGAACTCAGGTCTCTCGCTTGCAAAGCGAGTGCTCTAACCACTGAGCTACAGGACTCCACTGTAGTCACAATCACTGGAAAGTGATCAGGAATGGGTAACTCTGGACGATTTATGTCCTCTCGAGTATAGTGGTGATGAGGGCAGTTGCAGCACCTTCAGCTGCTGATTCGGGATAGATTGAACCTGTGACCTTTGTAAATCCTGACAAATGCAAGGCTATAAACAAAATATGAGCCTATCTGTTATAAGAAGCAAATTAGCCAACACTCTCATGGTACATTTTTCACTGAACCAAGAAAGGATTCAATTGTGACCCCCAAGAGACCTGAACTCTTCTATCACTAACCAGAGTCTTGTCAGAACATTCTAGCATCTGTTGGCAACAGCTCTACAACAAATCAAAAGCATCCTTCCCGCAATTCCTCGCAGCCACTAGATTTTAAGAAGGGTACTGATCATAAGATATATCCTGTGACAGGTGATCCCAAGGATGAGACTCTCTCTCTCTCTAATTGGACAGACTCCCTCCTGTAACATTGGGCCTATTTGAGATATTCCCTCTGAAATTGAGGGCTTGATGGTGAAGTTCCCTCTGTAACACTTGTCCTCATGGTAGGTCTCCTTTCCTTTGTTAAGTAACAAAACCCACCCCCATATTTTTCCAAGGCTACAATACAAAGCGTCGTTACTCACCCAGCTCAAAGATCTGAAGAGGCAATGTGAGGAAGCCGGAGTGCGGGTTGGGGTTGTTCTGTCCAGGAGCTGTGCACACATCATCCGAGGGCGGCAGAAGAAGGAGAAATGACACTTTGTCCCCAAACTCCAAAACCTCCTGACTGTACAGACGGAACTCTCTGGCCTAGCGAGACAAACGACAAAAAGATGAATCACTTTCCGTACCATTCATCAAACAACCACGTTTAATTATTTCCAGATCATTAGTTTTCAACGAGTCATTCATTTAGATTCTGGCTTGTGAGTCAGGTGAACTTTACGTTCCCATTTCCACCCCTGTTTCAAATAAACATAAGAGGTTTTGTGCTCAGTTAATCTCCTTTACATTCCTTCCTCAACCAAATTTCACACCAAAATAACTGGTTATTCATCTCACTGCTGCTGTTTGTTGGATGCTGGTGCATGGTACGTTTGTCTCCATAACATCATCCATTTTATTTCAAATTAGAGGAAAATGTCACAGGTCCACATCAGAGCTCTGAGTTAAGTCGGGAAATTATTTTTTTTAGTTATGTGCATGCACATGAGGTAAAGAAATCCGATCCGAGTGAGCACAAAATTAAAGAGAGAGATCTACACACGCGCCTCAGTTAAAGAGCCAGAGACTCAACACTGTGATGAGGCTAGTCCCTTAGAAATCTACAACACATAATATTTATAATAACAATAATTATAATAATTGTTGAATTTGGTATTGCGCCTTATCACGTCACTAAGATGCTTCAAAGCACAGGATATCATGCAAAGTGTATTTTGTGGGCGAATTCAGCAGACAATTTGCAAACAGCAATGACCCACAAACAGCCATGGAGTGAACGAGCAATTTTATTTGACCCATTAGTGCTGAATCTTGCTCCTCCAATAAAACCATCTATCTTAATTCCATAATCCTAATTGGTACGGATATCGGATTTTCTTCTGTAAAATGTTATTTGGTAAAGTGCTTTGAGGTATTTATTTTACATGAAAGATGCTATATAAGTGTGAGTGCTAGCTGTGTCAAGTGCTTTGAGACATCCTCCCGATGAAAGGCGCTATGTAAATGTAAATTGCATTGTATTGTTACCTTCCACAAATCATGCACACCATCTCGTAGACACCCATCCCATGTATGTAATCTGCTAAACTACTTCGTCACCATCAAAGGTAATGAAGTCACTTTGCTATCACATTATAACCTGTGCCTGTTAACAACTGAGCTACTTTTTTTTAAAACCTCATTTTCATTTCAGCCTCTTATATTCAGTAGAAAGAGAGGAGCAACTAGAACTCCAATCTGGTGAAAAAAATGACCACCAACAGAAGCAGTCTAGTGTGATGTAAGAAAGCCATTAAAAATCAGGCAGTTCTCCTTATAATGTGAAATATGAGGGTATTATTTTTAGTACAAGAATGAATAATGTGTGGCAATTCTAGCTTGCAGAAGCAGGCACAAATTGCTGCTCTGGCTGAAGCTATGTACAGGACTTAGGATGCTGCTGTAAAGCAGTTGGAATTGAGTTGCCGGGCATACTGTTTATTGTACCTGGTAGAGCGGAATTCCGATCTGATTCATCAGTTCTGTAATGGATATCCTGAGTTCTTGCTGAAAGATGTTCTGGGTATCTTCAGGACTAGGTTCAGCCAGAGTGGCTTCTTCCAGGTCGGTCAGGTTCAGCAGCCATTCCCACTCATCTCTGGGGGAGGAAAGAAGAGATGTGCCCATAACGACAGTCATTAAGTGCATCACATCTAGGAATAACATATAGGCTAGAACACATACGGAACAAATAGCTTGGAGAATCGCTAGGAGTATATAGGATAACAACAATTGGGGATAAATTATAAGGAATAACACTTTAAGGAGTTCAGATGACATCAGAAATCACAAGAAAGCATTTAAGTGGTTCATTCACATTCAAAATCCACTGTGTTGTTTACCGAGATTAAGAAAAGTATTGTCTTAAAAAAGTGGCATTTCCAAAAGATGACTCAGTCATATTGCAGCTCTGCCTCCACCAAGGCAGGAAGTCCAAGGAGAGCACCTTCTCCCAGATGCCTCAATGTCTCACAAGAAAAGTAGAATTCTGTCTATCCTGGAGCCTATCCTGGAGCCACAATCATTTTCATGACAACATATCAAGAAAGAACGACCTTGTGTTCGTTCTCCATCATGTGGTGAGCACAGATGTACAAAAGCCCGTTCATTGAATCTGGGCCAATGAACAAATGTGTGAATCAGGACCTGGTGCACTGGGGAGGCCTGTAAGACAGAAGTCACACATTTCTCGATATTCCCTCGCTAGAAATGGCACAGCATGCGTTCCCTCTTAAAATTCACACTTTAGTTTGGATGGTCTGTTCTCTGATGGCATTTAGCATGCTCTCCAGACAGTTGCAAGCTCTTACTTGCCGAGGGTACCATTGAGCTCTGAACAGCTGTGCCAAGGATTTCATACTCCTTGGTTGTAAATCAGATCTACACTATTTAAGTCTATAAAGTTGCTTGAAGCCATTAGTTACTGCAACACATTACATACTTTACCCCCATGGAGTGTTTGGAAATCCACTGTAAAAAGATCAGCGAGGGATAGCGGATAGTTCCCCTTGTGTTTGATGTCCTGTTACCTGGAGATAAGCAGGAAGCGTCCCTCCAGTGAGAGAGTGCGCTTTCCATTTCAACAATCTATCTCTGGAATTTCCATGTGTAGGTGGGATGTATGGAATTCTCAGTTTGGTCTGGATACTCTTAAGCATGCTGATGGGTTTCCCCATGTGTCAGACACCCGGTTGGCCCCCAAAAAATATTACCTGGAGATATTGGGATTGCTCCGTATCTTGATGTGACAGAGGATATTGGGTAGTTTTTGAGGGACAAGCACTCGGATTTGATCGACAGAGCTGCAGAGCTTTAGGTAGCCGAGGTAGAGGCCTGGGGTCAGGGACTGGTTGCTCCTCTTGTGGTAGGCCAGCTTTTCCTAAAGGCAACCCAAACACAACTTAGATCAACACACTATCTGCAATAGTCCTTCACAGCAAGCAGGCACGATGCACAAATAAAACATTCTTTCTAATATTGGTCATGATAATATCCGGCATTACTTATTGAATCCAGCAGACACAACACCAATACAAAAGAGTAACCATGGAGACAGAACAGCTGTATTAACCCTCTGAGAGCTGTGACAGTAATTTCACCCATCATATTTCTGGCTTTACAATTACATGTTTATGTGCGGAGGCTGGCAATAGATGTGGTTTCGCACAGTTCTGCAGATACAATATTTTGTCACTTGCTATCTTCAAGCAATTATTTCTACCTCTTTTTAAAAAAATTGTGTGTTCGGATGAATTGTGAGGGTCATTTTGTATTGTGGAATCCTGGCAATAAAATAAAGTAGAATAGCACTCCCAGTAATGGATTTCCCGTGCAGCTCTTCAAATAATAATAATAACAATAATAATCTTTGCATATAAGGTGCCTTATCATGTCATCAAGACATCTCAAAGCGCTTTGTAGAATAAACTGTAAAGTGAAGTATTTTGTGGGCGATTAAAAAATAAAAACAATTCATAGAATCATACAGCACAGAAGGAGGCCATTCGGCCCATCGTGTCTGTGGTGGCTCTTTGAAAAGAGCTATGCAAATCAATCCCATTCCCCTGCTCTCTCCCCATAGCCCTGCAAACTTGTCCTCCCCAAATAATTATCTACTTCTCTCTTAAAAGTTGTTACTGAATCGGCTTCCACCACCCTTTCAGGCAATGTATTCCAAATCTGAACTCATTGTGTGAAAAAATTTCTCACCTCCCCTCTGTTTCTTTCAACAACTATTTTAAATCGGTGTCCTCGGGTTACCGACCCACCCACCAGTGGAAATAGTTTCTCCTTGTTCACTCTATCGAATCCCCTCATAATTTTGAAAACTTCTATTAAGTCTCCTCTTAACCTTCTCTGCTCCAAAGAATAATCCTGGCTTCTCTCGCCTCTCCTCATCACTGAAGTCCCTCATCCCTGGTACCATCCTGGTAAATCTCCTTTACACCCTCTCCAATGCCTTGACATCCTTCCTAAAGTGTGGTGCCCAGAACTGAACACAGTACTCCAGCTGAGGGCTAAACACTGCTCTATAAAGGTTCATCATAACTTCCTGACTTTTGTATTCTATGCCCCTATTTATAAAGCCTAGTATCCCGTATGCTTTCTTAACAGCTTTATCTACTTGACCTGCCATCTTCAAAGATTTATTCATATGAATCCCTGGGTCTCTCTGTTCCTTCACTCCCTTTAAGATTGTACCACCAGCTTATATTGCCTCTCCTCATTCTTCCTCCCAAAATGCATGATGTCACATTTCTCCACATTAAACTTCATCTGCCACGTGTCTTCCCATTTTACCAGTCTGTTTATGTCCATTTGCAGTCTGCTACTATCCTCCTCACTGTTTACTGCTTTTCCTAGCTGAGTATCATCTGCAAAACTTGGAAATTGTACTCCCTATACCCAAGTCCAGGTCAATTTTTGTAGATCAAAGTGGTCCCAATACCGACCCCTGGGGGACACCACTGCATACTTTCCTCCAGTCAGAAAATCAACTGTTCACCACCACTCTCTGCTTCCTGTCTCCCAGCCAGTTCTGTATCTATGCTGCCACTGTCCCTTTAATATCATGGGCTTCTATTTAACTTACAAGTCTTTTATGTGTCACTTTATCAAACGCCTTTTGAAAATCCATGTAGGATTATCGACTGCACTACCTTCATCCACCCTCTCCATTACTTCATCAAAAAACTCTATCAGGTTTGTTAGACACGATTTGCCTTTAACAAATCTGTGTTAGCTGTCCTTTATTAGCACATATTTTTCTAAGTGAAAATTTATCTTGCCCCGGATTATAGTCTTTACAAGTTTCCCTACCACTGACGTTAGGCTGTTAACGTTAACACATACAGATTTTGCCCCTGCCAGCTCTTACAGCAAACTGCATTGGCTCACCATTTTCACACCCAATTTGTAATATGTAACCCATTACAACCATCCAACATACATGGAGTGTCAGGAGTAATGTGTCCAGTGCCGTGGGTTCTTCTGATGAGGAGAGAGACTTGCGTTGACTTGGTATCTTTGAAAGCGGGATCCATCTGACATTCTCCAAGCTTTGGTGTGAGTTGAGCTCCCTCAAGGTCACTATCAACACATTGCCATGCTTGTCCTTCATCGGCTCAAAGTATACTTGACCAAGGTCCTGGGTTCCAAGTAGCCCCTGGAGAAAGGAGACAAAGTTGATGTGTTAACAGCTAGTCAACCTCACTCATCACAATTTAGCTGTTGGTTTGGAGTGATATAATTGCCAATCCATCTCTGAATTGGGGGGGGGGGGAATTGGCTAGCATTCCTGTTCCTGATTCCTATCTGCTTGAGAGAGCATGTGTGGAAATTAGGCAAGGAAAGCATCTCAATTTGCTGTGATGCACCCAACCTCACCAAGACCACTCAGACTGCCAACACTCACTGTCTAGGTTTTATACGTGAAAAAAAGACCTCTTGTGTGAGGCACAGCACCTCTGGAACCATATCCCACCATGAAGCAACACCTTTAGTGAGGAGAAAGTTAGAGAAGGGCTCGGAGGGAACTATCTTCATGAAAAAGTTTGGCGCTGGGTTTAAGCAGCACTATTCCATGAGGTGACACCCACCATTGAGTCACTTCCGTTATGGTGACACAGTGACAAAAAAAGATCTGTGCTTCTTCTGGCTCTTCTCTATATCCACAGAAAACTGGTTTGCCAAACTAAAAACAGTTCTAATACATTGTGAATGCTGTTTATTATAGTCATCCCCCTCAGCCATTTGCTCCTAGCTCACGCCATATGTAAAGACTTAATGGCTCTACCAGGCTCCACGACCAATCACCCTTATCCTCGCCCGACTCCACTGGCTTCCCATCACACAGAGCATACAGTTCAAAATCCTGGTCTGCACCATCAAAGCCCTCCATGGCCTTTCTCCCCCCTACCTCTGTGACCTTCTAATCCCCTACCAACCTACCCACTCCCTCTGCTCAGTGGGCTCCGGCCTAATTCATGCCTTCTGCCACTCTGCCCCCACCTTCATCCAACTCCATCCCGCAGCCCATCTGCCTGGCCCCCTCCCTTGCCTCCTTCAAGACCAGTCTCAAGACCCTCCTCTTTGACCGTGTCTTCAGTCATTTTCCTTTCTTTTATGCTCTTTACTCTCCCTGATCCCGACCCACAGCTCAGGTCTGAATCACTGATTGTCCAGCACCTTGGGATGTCCTCCCGATGTGAAAGACGCTATACAAATGTAATTTTGTTGTTGTTGTATCTGTGTCAACACATGAAAAGTACTCCAGTGAATAGAATAGACCACAAGACAAGGACTGGAGACAACTCCAGTGAATGGAATAAGTCACTAAACATAGATGAGTCTTCCAAAAAACGGGGCACATAGATTGCCTGAGTTATTGCAATAATAATAATAATCGTTTCATTTGACTTAGTGCCTCTCCCAAGGAAACTGTACAAACAAGGAGTGGACAATGCTCAAGTAATAGACTCCAAAACATGGAGTGAAAAAAGCTCTAGTTACTGGAATTAATGCATTTCAAAAACATTTAATGTTATCAGCTACAGTTAATGGAATGGAAACCCATCATGAAATGTAAAGTGGAATCTGCAGTTAGTGGAAAGGATTAATCTATCACCAAAGCACAAAGTGGATTTTGTCCAACTTCACAAGAGATGTAACTTCTTCAAAGATTTTATGAGGAACGCACGGTTCTCACCTGAAGCTGAGCGACTGCCACGAGCATCTTATGGCGGGCCTGGAGTACGGAGGAACAGGAGGATAAAGAAGGACTCATACACTGGCGCAGCCAGCGACTGTCTTCCCACATGCAGGATACCTGAGTCGAGAGGGAATGGGACAACTTCTATCACTAAACAATGACACCAACAATGCATAAATTCTACATGGAATCAATCCCGCACCAATCACTAACACGAGTGATTTTTCATGGGACTTCTCATTTTTAAGACAAAATAAAATGGTCAGCGATGCCAGTATTCCATGCACAATTCATCTAATGTGCCTTCCAATCTAGCTCCTGTATGCAGAACTGAGTGTTGTTAATTCAACAGCTTTGAGCCATGCAATGGTGAAACTTAGATTCAATACCTTGAAGTTGTGGTGTTAATTTAAATAAATTATTTTATATAAATAAATACAGACGGCCTGTTTCAAAGGTTTCTCTCTTTTGAATTATTCAAGCAGATATCACTGACGCCGGGTGAGAGAACCCACTGGCGCTGAACATACTAAACATGCACATTATTATACATTTTTGGGAGGAAGTTATGTCTTTATTGAGGTGAGCGAGGTGGAAAATGAAGGATTTACATAGTTTGAGAGACTCCGTATATCAGCTATCTCAGGTCAGGCAGAAAGAAGTGTTTCATGCAAAGTAAAGCTCTGATCGGCTCAAATCTCTGGAAAGTACCCCAAATTAACCAATTGCAACATCGTCCCAGCATTTTCTGCAGCAACTGTCCTGTGGCTTCTAAGACCGAGAACACCAGTTCAGAGCTGAACTAAAGGGACGTTTCGTGTTGAGACCCCAACCAACTGTCGTTGGGATAAAATCCCTAACCTGATTTTAGTTGTATAAATTCTGTACATATTCCACACAATGCAAACCCTGAATTTCAGACTCAAAGCTAAATATTTTTTATTTTGTCTTTAAAACCCAGCTCCCTCAATCCAGTTCAGAGGCAGGAGGTACTTTTAGTTTTTTTAAAAAAAAACAAGTGTTTTTCGTTGCCTATAAATTGGCTCACAAGACAAGCCTTGCAACCAATGGGAAGCTTAAAGATGGATAATTGATATGGTCGTTTCATGTGATGTGCTTTTTGTATCGAAAGGAGGAAGTTACCACATTAGCAACCTCTGAGACCCAGCAGTACCCTGGTGTGTCTGCAGTGCCTCAAAGGTTGAAGCATTTTGTTAAACACACTTCTCATAAATAAGTCTAACGTGAGCCAAGCAAAGGTTCTGACTTTGTGCTCTGTTTGAGGCTGGGCAGTGTGTTACTACTGTGCACGGGAACAATGGGTGCAAACTAACCCTGTCCCTTTACCTTGGTAAACCAAAGGAAATCCTGCATTAGTGAACTTGAGTACGAATCGTCCATATCCACCACTGGAATCTGGTCTTCATGTGTCACCAGGATGTCTTCACCCTTGTAGAATATCGCTGTCAAGTACAGGCCTCTGTAACAAGCAGACCAGAACCAACAATCTTCAGTACCACTCGATCCTCTTAATTGCCACACTCATCGCAATATAAAATGCATTCTCGGTTCATACCAACACTAATATAAAGTTAGACAGGCTATCAATTGTTATGGTCCAGTCCTACAATGGACAGTTATTGGAAAAAATCAACACAGAGTGTGAAATCGTTTTGCTTTAATCTTGATGCTCACATTCATTCTATGGCCTGATTGATAAAGGGATACACACTACCCAGTGTGTAACTCAGGTCATACTGACAATCTACATCCCCTGTTGGGACTGCAATATCCATTAGACCTTTGGCTCACAGGATTTGAGGAGATGATGACATCTCCAAGTCTCATGATGAGCTAAATTGCCTGGTCAATCATCAACAAGGCACTGGATTAAAATAGATTTGCTTGCCTTTTTATGAGAGTGAGTTCAGCCTCATTAAGCCAGGTCTCAACCTATAACTTTCAATCCCATTCCTCTCTGCTCTTAATTGAACGCCAACCAGATACTTAGCCAATTCTCCATTGACCAACAACAACAAGATTGCATTTACAGAGCACCTTTCACGTCGGGAGGACGTCTCAAGGCGCTGGACAGTTGGGTCGGGACCCAAGCAGGGGGGAAATGGTCAGGGTGAGGGGAGGGAAGGAGCGAGGAGGGGGTAGAGAGTCGAGAGGGGAGCTGAAGGCACGGTTGAAGATTAAATTGAAGATTGAAGGATTAAATCAGCAGAGCAACCACTGTTGTTGTTGAGAACCTATTTCACATATCTACTTGTGCTCTGTGTAAAAACAGTCTTGCTCTTGTTCATTCTGTTTAGTGATAACAATCGGAAGTGCTCATGTGTGAGCTACAATTCCGGTTGGCGTTTCATGTAGTAACTCTGATGATGCAGAAATCCTGTTAATGTCGATACTGTCAGTGTTACACAGAACACCTGTGTAATTTCTCTCCTTGAGAGGGAGAGTAGGTGGAACACAAACCTAGAACCTTCCTATGACTCAGTAACATCATGTGATACATTTTCCCATCTATAGAAGTATTTCTGTAAAAAGTAGAAAATCAGAGGCTCAAAGATTACACGAATAATCTAAATTGATTTCTCCTTCAGATTGGGGTGCACAAAGCAGCTTACCTTTTGAGATTTTTGACAAATTTACTCGTCGGCTGAAAGAGATGCTTCAAACTCTTGGACATCGAGTGCTTTCGGCCTGGGGGTGAATCTTGGAATTTTCTAGAAAGGCAACACATATATTTAATTAGGATTTCCTATTAAGAACGACCACAGACCTGATCCCGGGAATTTGAGAGAAAAAGATGAAGTGCTGTATTCTCTGGTTCGCAACAAAAATAGGTGTTGCCAATTTACTCCTTCAATGAAGACAATGGAGATACTCAGAAGTATTAACAACAACAACTTGCACTTGTATAGCTCCTTCCACACGGGGTAGCGTCTCAGAGCACTCAGTTGATGTTCTATTAACAGAGAACATAGCAAGTAAACAGGCAAGCAGCAGTCTCTTCTTGGTCTTTGGTGTTTGCCAGTGAGAAGCAGCATGAAGGCAGACATAAGGTTTCGGCCATGGACCAGGGATTGTGGCACCAGTGGGCAGTGTTCCATTAGAACAAGCTCCACACAAAGCCTTCATTCCTAGAGGAGCCTCTGTCCAGCACTTGTGAGACATATCACAGAGCACCAGGAGGGTGACAAGCAGACGCCAGCAATTGGCTGACAAGATTACTATGATAGAAGCAACGTGACCCTCGGAAGCCCAGATATTGGGAGCTTTCAGCACCAGCCTGCTCGATCCAGTGCCTCTCCTGTCAGTAGAGCTAGCGGGTCGCTGCACTTTATTTAGTAACCTGATTGGTTTTTGAATAAATTCTGGCTTTTTACAACAAAAGTGGCTTGTGTCTTCAAGGGCAAGTGAAGGTGGTAGGAAAACAAGCGGCTGCTGAGACACAAGGCGTCTGGTTGTGATTTGCTGTCTTGCTGAGATCCAGTGTACAATGTGGGGACTGTGCTGAAGACTCATTGCTGTGAAACACTGAAATGCTTGTTAATTTCACTCAGTGCACACTATACGCACTAGCATTACTTCTATAGGTTAACATGAATCTAAACCCTCCCCCCTCTCTCCCTTACACACACATTCTTTCTCCTTCGCTCTCTGCTACATCTCTTGTCTCTTCCTCTCTCATTTCGCAATTTCTCAGCTTCATTCTGTCCCCCTGTCCCCTTTTTCACTGCCCCTTGTCTCACTGCTGCTCTCTCTTTCTTCATCTACCCCCTCCCTCTGAACCTTTGTCTTCCTTGTTCTGTCTCTCACATTCACTGTCTCTTTTTTCCTCATAATCTGTCCCTCCTCCAACTAAGGGGTTTCAGACCAATTTATGTCAATGAAGCTCAGTGGTTCAATTTGGATCTGATTGGGACCAAAGCGATCATTCCCCTCTCTCACTGCCACACACACACACCGTTCTCTCCCTCACACACACACATCACTCTCTCTCTCCCTCCGTTACACACATGCACATCGCTCTCTTCATTTCTCACATCAAACACAGCTCTCTCTCCCTGGCCCCGCACTACACATATGTGAACAATAATTCAACTCTGACTACTGCTCTGGCCTTGTTCCCTGAGTCCCACTATCAGTGAGTGCGCCTTCAGTCACCATGCCTCCATTCTCTTGAACTATCTGTCAATCAAAATCGTTTCATATCACACCATTTTACCTTTCTTCATTGTGCCTTTGAGGAGCAGCCTCACACTCTTGCCATTTTCCTCCCTGTTCAGTGATTCCCATTAGCATTAAAAGCACTTTGAGACAATCCCATAAGTGCAAGTTGTTATCGCTCATTCCTGTCCCCCTCCCCAGGTTTCAGCCTGTTATCGGAGTAGGTGATTAATATTTTCCTCTCCCCCCCTCCCCACCGAGCGGGTCTGCTGCTCGCACAAACCGTGGCAGATGCAGTGCTGGTGGGTGTTCCTAATCTGGTTCAGTAGTTGGTCCAGAGCTTCCGTCTGTCCCCTGGCTCTGGATTCTTTGCCAATGCACTCCCTCCAGTCTGGGGGAAGAAGACGAGGAGAAAGGAACCAATGGGCGGCTGTTAATATAAGGCTAGTAACATAACTAGAATGTTAACATCATCATTGTCAAATGCAAGGATTATTTACTTACTGGATGGTGTTGCAAATGGAGGAGAGGAATCTTGATATGGACCCCAGCCTTTCATATTATAGGCTGCTACCTGGACATAGTAAGGAACTCCCTGAGTGAAGAGAAAGTAGATTGAAAATAACCATCTTTTAGAACTTTCTTTACTGTTATTTCCCTACCTCTCCTCATAGGCTCCTCCAGCCACCTTCCAGTATATTGTCAATTGGTCATTCTTCATGTGTGAACCTTGACCCATTGAGTCTCTTATAACTTGGTTGGGATCCAACCAGCTTTATAACAGAGTGCGATTGCTGGTCAGTGTTTCTGCATCGTGACGTCACCAATCGTATGATCATATATTTTCCAGCTCTTCTCTCCACCCAAACAAAACATTTGTAATATCATCTCTCATGGACACAATGTGCTGTAACTCAATATTTACCCACACAGGCTAATCCTACTGGAGCTGTGACTAGGGTTGGAGTATACACATTGTCCTTTATATTCTCTTAACCTGTGCATGTGCAATGCTTCACACTCACTGTCTCCACGAGGAGAATGGCTGAGTGGACTCTCATTAGTGGCGAAGCTAACACTGACCGATTCTTGGTCTCCAGAACTGGTCTATTTTACACATCAAGAGAAACAGGTCACAAAATGCTGATCTGGGGCCAAGTCGAACCCTCCCACCATTACCGATTGTGACCTCCAAGCAGTGTCCGTTACTGCGTTAGCCTGATGTTTACCCAGTATATGAAGGCACAAATCAACAGTGTTTCTCCTGACTGAACAATGCTCACTCCCACCAGGCTGTGACCCCATTAGCACTGGGGTTGAATCCACAACTGAGAAACCTAATAGCGATGCTACCTGGGGTCATTAATTAACCATAAAAGTGGTCTTGGGTTTGATCTCTGGACGCCTCCCACGTATTGCGTGTAATTTTTGATTGACACCATCGTGGTATGTGAGCAGGTTGTGGGCTACTTACTGTGACCAGGCCTGTGATCGTGTGCTGTAGAGTTTTCAACTCTTCCAGCACGGCCTCTCCTGTTACCGCAGTGAAGTCGGGAGAGCTGCTCCATTCGACTGCAGAGAGAGAAAGAATCAGCACAGGGAGAGACTGCAAAGTCAGTATCTTAGATAAGATCTGGCAAAAAGTCATTCAATTGCCAGATGCTTACAAACACAGTCACTACACTTTACAATAAATCCTCCGCAATCCTTCAAGACAATTTCTTGTTGTTGTTGAGACGCTTCGATGATGTGATAAGGTGCAATGTCACATGCAACGATTCTTTTTATTATTATTATAATGTCACATTGACATTTTGTCACCTTGCCTCTTCATGTGATTCATTGATGCACATTTTGGTAAATAAACGTTTATAGAAATGTTTTGTGAGCTTCTGCTGATGGTCTTGTGGGCGCAGCACTAAAATTACACAGGCTGCAGGCTTGAATTCCAGACTGCTGAGTTAACTGATCTCAGTCCATGGACAAGTTGGGGCCACAATTGGCTTCGGCATTATGGAATTGGAAGAATCAGCCAATGCCTGGGTTCCTGCTTCTGATCATTATCCAGAGCCCAACGTATACATAGACATTGGGTGGGGATAAGATTGAGCTTGGCTCACGATACTGTCTCCTCTCACACGTCAAGAATAGCAACTTGGATGAAAAGCATAAGGGGCTTGGTGCCCATCAAACCGCGCTCCAGCACAAGTCAATATCAGGACAGGAAAGGGAAAAAAAATCATCGTAAGAGCTTCATTTATTAAAATCACATGTAGATTGAAATGAAACCTCCTTACCTTTGTATTTTGTGACCACAGCAGAGTTGAAGCTGAGAGGCTCCTGGAAGGTGAGGTGCAAAGAGGAGCTGCTTGCAACAGACAGCTGGACGTTGGCTGGGGCTTCGGGAGCTCCTGTGAGTCCAGTACAAGAATAGTAATCAGCGTGGGAATTGCTAATTTGAGTCTTTTTGGTCAGCCTAACAGGTCAGATTGGGCTCTGTGATTTCTGAAAGCCATCAAAGTGCAAACAAGGTCGGTGGAGTTTTTTTCCACAAATTTGGAAGCTAAGCTATCAGCGATAACAGTTTGTACTTCTTACCCCTTTGTGCAAATACTACAAATTACATACAGTTGTGGGGTTTCCAGCAAGTTACAGCAGGGCACGATACATGCATGGTGAAACACTCAGCATCTCAGCTGCTGGTTCGAGCACTCACTTCACCAAATGGCAAGTTCCCAAATGTTTAGAGGTCAATAAGATAACCAATCTTTGTAAGCAATTTCAAGGCAAGAAAGTAATTGAAGAATCAAGAAACAAAGAGATGTCAGATAGCTGGACATTGAGCTATTGAGCCATCTCGCTACCTATCCAAATCTCCGCAAGATTCCTTCAATGTATCCATCTTTAAATATGATTATCGACTCTCTGTTTGTTCTCAGTCAGAATGCTGCAGGTAAGGGCAAGTGAGGCGATTCCATTGATTCCCATTGAATCCAGCCTTTCATCTCTGGAGGAAGAGGTGGGTAGGAGAGGAGGGGAGGACGAAGAGTGAGGACCCTATGTCAGAACCATTCTTCGTGCTAGGTGCAGTAACATTCGTGTTTCCACAGAGATGTCTCTGGCTAAAGGAAGCTTAACGTTTGGGGTAAGAGGGACAGTTGAAAGCTGAGTGCACAGGCTGTTGGGGAGAATGGGCTGCAGGCTCTCAGTGACAGATTCTTGCTACTCACGTGCATGCTCAAAGCCAGCTTTCATGCGTTTGAAGAGCCGGTAGTGCCATTCCCAGGCCTTTAGCTGCTTCTCCTTCTCTGTGCAGTCAGCATTGGGAGCTTCATTCACGACCTGTGCAGTCAGCTCATTCACACGCTGCTCAGCCTCTCTCACCAGCGTCGTCAGTGCAACGCCCGGCTCTCCAAACTCACAACTGGAAGAAAGAGGTCACGATTAGCTGCAGCCCTTCAGTCCTTTGCCTGGAACTCTGGCGAACATCACACACTCTCTCTCTCTCTCCTCTGTGCCAGCTCATCATTCACAGAGAATCACAGCAATTCACCCCCAAAACGTGCAGCTAAATTACACTCGCCGCCCAATCCTACAACATCAGCCATCAATTCCAATAAAATTTTGTAACTAGATATAGCAGAAATGGACAGATGTTAAAAGGATCAAAGCTCTTCTTTTGATTTTTTTTACGAGTCCAACACAGACTCCGAGGTCCTACGTACACTGATTCCTAAAATACTCTGATCTTATCCCCTACGTCTTCACAACAGGGAATGCCAGTATAAAGATTTAACTGGAAAGATCACTATTTTTATTGATCAGGGACATTGGAGTCCACTCCCCTTAACCTATATTTTTTTTCTGTTACACATCCCATAAAGGAAAAATCTGTTTAGTTATAGTGAGACATGGCTGATCAGTAATGGAGTCATTCGTGAGACATGGCTGATCAGCAATAGTACTTGTGGTGAGATATATTTGCAGTAATAGTCTCAATTCAACTGATTTCGCCTCTGAGTCAGAAGGTTGGGACTTCAAGCGCCACATTGGATCTTGGAACTCATATAGTCTAAGCTGACACTCCAATGCAGTGCTGGAGGTGCCGTCCTTCAGATGAGACGTTTAAACCCATCTGCCTGATCAGGTGAATATTCAAGATCCCGTGGCACTGTTGGAAAAAAGAAGGGAGTTCCTCCCAGTGTTCTAGCCAATAATCCCCAAATAAAACTGCTTATTCACTCCATAGCTGTTTATGAGACACTGCTGTATGCAATTGGCTACTGTCACACAGTCACTGTACTGTACAGTACATCCTTTGAAGTGCTTTGGGATACCCTCCCGACGTGAAAAGCATTATACTGAATGCAAGATTATTTATAATATTAATTATGTCTCCATTTGAGGTAAGGAAGCATCACTCGTCAGAACAATTGGGTGGGACTCACAGTGTGGGCTCTCCTTAGCTCCAGCCTGCAGTAGCATCTTGGCCATGGGTACATTGTTGGTCATGATGGCGATATCAAGAGGCATCAAGCCCTCACTGTTGGGTGTGTTTAAATCCAGCTCCTCTGTGCTATAGAGGTTTAAGAGCATCTGGGCCGTATCAAGATCCTGCTGTTCCACTGCCTCAAACAGAGCTTCATTACTGTGAAAATTCTACAAAAGGAAAAAGAACGAAACAATGTTTTTCTCTCCCGCCTAAATTTTCGTCTAGTATTTATTTTAACGTAGTAAAACACGACTGCTGGGTGGTGGCCTCTGTCAGCTCCCATGCGTAGCTCTGCTGTCATCACTTAATGCTGTAATTGGTTCAGACACACATATCAGGTTTCATTGCACCAGCTGCCCGTTAGCACACCCTCTCACACAGAAGCCCCTGCCCTCCACTCACCGGCACCTCCCATACTGCAAACAAAGGCCAGGACCCAGCACAGGGACTGAACTTGATACAGCGCCTTGAAGAATTGGCTTGTTACTTTTCTATTTATTTAGCCTGCCCACATCACATCTCTGGGACTATCTACAGTTACACGCGACACTGGATACGCTGGAAGACGTCCCAGCTCAATGCCACCCAGCACTCTTTAGCTATTCCCTTTGCCTAGAGAGCACAGAGCACCAGGGCTATGTCCTATCTTGTGTGCGGTTACTTTTCTGGACATGTGCCAAGAATGGCAGCAGCAATGGGTGCAGGCAACATTTCTTCACAGAGGTTGTGACAATGTGGAATGCACCATTCCAGAGGGCCATACAGGCGGAATCAATTGGGATGTTTAAATGGGAACGGTAGATATTTGTAAAGTAAGGGCACTTAACGCTACAGAGAAGATAAGCGAAAATTGGATTAAAAAATCTGCTGTTGTGATTTAATAAAGTGGTAGATCAGGCTCAAGGGGTTATTTGGCTATCTTCTTAACATCAACCACCAGACAATGCCAATCTCGGAAACGATACTCCAAGTACAAACGATTTAAGATTAATGTAGAAACGTGAATGTGCCCCAAATATGGCACCCAGATATTTTGAGGATATACAGAATGTAGCAAGTGTTATGTGTATACAAGAACTCGCACTTGAAATCTCGTTGTGTGGTGCCCAGAGTGTGAGCAGGGTTATGACTTCCCAAATTCTTACCACACAGGACTTGCGCTGCTTGTTCTTTTCATTTCTCCCCATCAAGCTTGTCTCATCGAACGAGGTGTAGTTGACCTTGAACTTCCCTGAAAGGTTTCTGTACAACCTCTTTGCTGCATTTGGGGAGGAAGGCGTTACCAGCTTCTTCCCATGAGCCTGCTGGAGGTCACGCATTTGCTGGGTCATCTTGGGAGATGAGGACCTGCCAAAGGAGCAACACAAGGATTAGTTCTTTCAGACACAAAGTTTTAACCATTTACTCTGGACAGTGTTGCCCCTCTTCCATTCTGTTCCAAGGTGTCATTTTGTTCAAACAGATTTCTAGGTTTTGCTGAAAGATAAACCCTTGTTTTAGAGTACACAGTGAAGTCTTCTTCCCACTCCACCCAGTCAGTCTTGGTCACTCTGTTGCCTGAATAGGAGTTCATCCTTTGTAGAGAACGTTTTTTCCTTATCGTTTCTTTCACCTTTAAATCTGGTCTGGAACCTATTGAAGATGTCTAACTAGTTTTTCAAAACCAAGTCAAAACCAATACAATTAGCTCCTTTGTAACATTAGTAGCATCCACATTCAGTATGAGTTTCAGGATAATGCAGAGGATTATAGTTGGCATGTGCTTGATGGAGGTCCACATAGTTGAGATGGGTAGAAGGGGACAGGAAATAGGTACAATCCTTACTTCTCTATCCATTGAACTCTGGAAGAAAGTGTGACATGTGGATGAGTGTGACTTTCAGAGGGATGAAAAAGCTACAAAATATTTTTCAATAAATCAGACCACTGCTTAAAATGGTTTATTTTCCACAACATAACTGTACAAAATAAAAATGGTTTCAACCTGTTATTTCAAGTGTCACCTATGTGACTACCCACCTGATGAGTGAGTGGCAAATCAAGCTCTGAATATGCCTTCAACCTGTTGTTCACCTGTCTCTTCGGGTAATGATAGGAAATAAGTGGCAGTACTGTACTTAGGTAATTGGCAACGTCGATCACAGTGAGAGGGCCCTGGATTAGCATCGGTACAGACTGTGTCAGTACACAGGGCACTGGGCTTGGAGCAGTTACTGTGTGATAATGCAAGGAGGCAGTCAATAAAACAGACTGGCTGGGAGAAGTTACTGAACGATAGTGTGACAGCTGGATTAATTTAGTGATAGTCAGTAATAAAGGTGCTGCCTTTGAGGAGATGGTGATTTTGCCTGTGAGAGAGTTGGATTAACATCAGTTGAGACAATAACTAAGCATGCACTGTACATGTTTTTCCAGCTGCTTTACTCTGTCAATTCAGTGGCTTTTCCAAGCCAGGAATCCCAATGACATCAGCGGCATTCGCTGCCTATAAAACACAGGCCGAGCAAATAAAGAAGATCTGAAAAGCAACCAAGAGTTTGGTTCTTAAGCCAGTTCTTAAAAGGTGTCCTGTTGGTAAAGATTTTACCCCAGAGTATTCTAATCCTATCATTACCTCCAGTATATCTACTGGCACCGCTCGAGTTACAGAGTGCAAGCAGCTGAAAGAAGGAGCATCAGTTCCCATCATGTTTCACCCTCAAAATGCACAGTCAATTCACTTTACAGTATATTCTGTGCAGCGCTTTGAGACATCTCAATGACGTGATAAGGCGCTATATCAAATGCAAAGATTATTATCATCATCATCACGAGTGAACCCCATTGCTGTATGCTTGCAGCAAGTCAGCCTGTTGTACTTGGGTCCCGAGGCAAGGATGCAAAACATTGATCCCTGAAGTAATTCAATTTCACCTAATCCAACCCCATAATTCACAGAGAAACGCCTGGATAATCCAAGCCAGTAAATGTAACAGCAGTTGTTTAAGGAAAATCTTTACACTTATTTGAAAGAAGCAAAATTTATACCTTGGTTGGCTAACATTAAGTGAAACTGTAATTGTGTGCCAAATCGGGAGGAATATCAGGCATTATTAGCACGGCCAAATTGCTTATCGCTGCACCTAAATTCCCTAACACTCAAAAGCATTTGTGAAAGAAATAACAAATGTCGCCAGTTAGGAATATATTCAAGGACATCAGGAGGACATTTCCACTGAGAAGCCTCGTCGTAAAAAAAGGAGTGTTTAACAGCAGGTCAGACCTGGCGTCAGTGAGCTTAACAAAGGGGCAGATGTCGCAGCCTCGCCACAACAGTGACAGAAGTGAACAGCAGAGGTTCCTCCGCAGAGCTTGGGGGGGGCGGGGGGGGCTCCGGCATTGGCGGGGACTGGGAAGCCTGGAATGCTTGCGTGCAGCTTATTTTCCGTTCATCTTGTACACAGAACCACATCCCAGCGATTCCAAAATTACCGTGAAGCTTTCTGCCCTATTGAGCATTAGCAAAACCAACAGTTTTCCGCTATTGTACGAATGCTACCCAGTGAAAAGCAGATGTAAAATTAATGTCATGCTATAATTTGGAAATGGCCACGTGAAGTGTACTCAATCTAATTTCATTATGTAAATATGTACATATTAAAAAGCAGACATAGCAGGAAGTCGAGTTAAAGGGTTATCTTTAAGTGAGTAATTGTTTACTGCAATAAACCTTCATCTTCCCAGAGGGTTACACTTTTTAAAATTGTAATCTGTGAAATGTGATTTATCATGAGCTGCAGTACTATTCTGTGTTCATACTTAATCTCTATTCAGGCTCAAATCTCAGGTTTCAAACTGTACAAAGATGAGGTAAATCAGGAAGTGGAGGTTTAGGTGATGTCAAGCTTGGGTGTAAATGTTTGTAGGGTGTAGGGAAGATTAGAAACATGAAGAGTGCTACAGTTTTGAGGTCCAAGGAAAGAATGGGTTGGAGTCAAAAAAAGTAAGATGAGGTTTGATTTCTACTCCATGAGGATTCAGCAAGGAGGCAGAGCAGGGAATCTAGAACTTGAGACGAATAAGAGGGAAGACCAGAGGAGCAGTGATCAGAGTGTAGCTAGAATGCAGAAAAGGAGGTCGGAAGCTGGAGAGATAAGAGAAACATGTCTTGACAGACAAGCCTTTATTATCCCTGAGTAAGTACAGAAGCAACCAAAATAATTGCAACTCTTAGCACGCTGTGCAGAGGGTTGAAGGGAGTTGGGCTCCCTTTTGAAATGAGGAAACACGAGTTGATCTGATGGAAGGTTTAAAGATTACCTATCAACAGTGACACATGCAGTAATACTGTTAGCAGTGAGATGTCTACAGTAATTATCAATGGAGAGACACGTCTGTACCTTAATGGTGAATGTGGTGGGCTACGTCTGTACAGCAATAGTGACTATAATGAGACATGTTTACGCAACAGTAGTGTCGATGGTCAGACGTGTCCGTGCAGCAATAGTGTAAGTAGCGAGACATGTCTATTGGCGGCACTCACGTGCTGCTCCCTGGTTCATTAGCAATGACCTCAATGTAAAAGGTGAGGCGGAAGCACAGTAACAGTGACTGCTGCTTGATCAGCTGGCTCCGGGCACTTGTTCCCTTGCAGTGTGACACCGGGAATGTCACAGCATGCAGGGTTACGTGCTGACATTTGTTATGTGGATTATCACATTTCACAAAGGTCAACACAACGATGCAGCCATCGCCAGCAGCGGATTCACTCTGTTTTCAACTAAAACAAACAGAAGTTATAAGCTAGGATGCTCTTCAAACCTGCCCTCGCCGAGACTTTACTCTTAAAATTCACAATTACTGTAAATGTGTAGATGTGAGTGAAATTGCAGACTCATTGCTTACACTGGAGCTATTGGAGATGTTGAAATCATCTTTGAATATGAAAAAAACTAACAGATTTAAGATGAAAGTAATTACAGTCCTATTTACACATAAAATACTGTCAGAGAAACTCTTAAGCCAGTATCGTCCCAGTAAGTTCTGTGGCGCACTTTCACTCATCTTGTGGACATAAGACGCAATATCAAATTCAATGATTATTACTGCCTTGGTTCAGTTGGTAGAAATCTCATTGCTGGGTCAGAATTGTTGGTTCAAGCCCTATTGGGACTTTGAACTCGGTCTTGAGACTGACAATCCAATATGGAGCACTCCAATGTTGTAGATTTCACCCCTCACATCCACCACCCTAGTGGGAATCATATGACTATGTACACAGTGTTTTTGCTCACTGTGCCATTGTTAGAGCAACTTATAAGATATGATGCTGATTCATTCACAATCAAAAACTCGAATAGAAAGTGTATAGCACAGAACCCAACCCCCCAACCACCACAAAAAAAACTAAAACTACAGTTTGTTCCTTTCTTTATTACTCCTGTATATCTCGTTGGTGTGCAGCAAGTTATCGGGTCAATGACTAATGAATCTGAAGGATTGTTGGTGAGGATATTTCGAGAAACCACCTTCTCTTGTCAAACAGTGTCATGGGTTCTTTAAACATCCACCTGAGGACAGTTAGATACATCCAACAATGCAGTGTTCCCCTCGTGGGCACAGAGTAGGTGGGATGGTTGGTTGGGGTGTCCCTTGCCCAGGTGATTCTCCAAATTCCCTCTACTCCCTCCTACATATGATTCAAGAGATTTATTTAGAAAGTGCGACTTCAAAGCCAAATTTCCTCAGCAATATTATCCAACAGGACATTTTTCCAGAGGAAGGAGTTGGGATTCCCAAGCCAGCATAATCAGTCTCTTCAAGAGCAGCCAGCGGTGCAGAGTGGCAGCTTCATACAGGGACAATCTCGGAGGAAGGAAATTGTCACAGGCTTTGTTTCTGTCATATCAGAACACTCACAAACTTCCCAACAGCCACAGTTCCACTGAGTGCAATGCCACATTCTGCTGGAACATTTCAGATTGTGGATTTTGTGGCTACATATACCGTGACATTAGAATTACAGGCATGGCTTCAGGGGGTCTCTTCACGCATACGTTTGCTGGCAAAGAGCTCTAGTACGTAAGGCTGTTTGTGATACAACAGGTGCTGATCTGTGAGGCACTGGAAACGCTGTTAATTCAAAATGTTCTGTTGCTTTCCACAAACTCTGAATGTCGGCAGTGATTTTTCATTGACGGTCAGCCAGGATTTGACGGCATTTGCAGCATATCTAATTTGGGAGCCTCTTTGGCTTGTTTTATCGTGGCTCCGCAAGTTGCTCCATCTCCCGCCTCTTCCCACCAAGTACCATATGTCATACAAGAGCGGCCGGAGCCTGCCAGACTTCCAT